AAAAAAAAAAAAAAAAAAAAAAAAAGTTTGTGAACTAGAAGACTGAGGCGTTATAAATATAGTCACTCCTTGTTTAATGACTGAGTCCCACTCCAGCAACGAGGCTGTTAAATAAATTGGTCACTAATGAGGAATCGTATATAGTACGTACATTACAATATTCAGAACAGAGAAATGGCCAAAGGAAACTCCAATTTGATGATGTTACTTTTATTTCTATAACTCTTATATGCAGTACTGTGATATATAATAGAACATAAAAGTACAGTGTTATACTGTACAGTACAATCAGCAAAAATTACTGTATAAACAAGGTGTAATGTACCAAAAAAAGGCACTATCACTCTATAAATAAGCTGTACAGAACTGGACCAAAAAAGAAGACAGATCATACGTTCAGGCAGTGGATCAGAAGTCCAAACAGTTGTTAACCAAGTAGGTCATTAAACAAGGAACACCTGTAAATGGTACTGAAGCTCTATAGTAAGTACAGGTATCTCTTGGAGATACCCGTATTATTCAGGAAATGTAATATATCAGCAGTGAAATAAAAAGGCAACACATATTCTTAACAATAACTCAAGTGCAGCCACTTTTGAAATATTTTGGCAGGTTTTTAATAAGTTAAATATTAATTTACTAAACAATCCAGCATTTCTACTCCTAGCCTACCCAAGGGAAATGAAGGCATCTCTCCACACAGAAATGTAGATGGATATTCACAGAAGCACCTGTGCGTAATAGCCAAAAAAGGGAAACAACCCAGATGTCCTCAACTGGAACATAAATGGACAAGCAAAATGTGGTACAGTCCCACAGGAGCTGCTAGTCACTTACAAGGAGGAAAGAACTGTTAGGTCACTGCAGGGATGAACCTCAGCCCTATGCTAAGGGAAGAAGATTGCGTATGCTGAGACCCCAGGTGTAGGAAGCATCCACAGATGAAAAGCTACGCGGACAGAAAGTGGGGGAGCAGTTATGCAGTGCTGGGAGTGGAAACAGGTTTTCCATTTCTTTCTCTTTTTCTTTCTTTCTTTGTTTTAGAGGGGCAGTTATTTTATTTTTCTTTTGCTATTTGCACATGTCTGCAGCACATAACGAACACACTCATCGTGGTAACTGGTACATATACATGGCAAGCCTTAATTCCTTTTAAAGCTCCTTCCCCTCCCCTCCCGCCTCCTCAACATCTCTTGGTCCCTGGGGATGAGCACAAGGGGTCTTTCCAGGATGACAGAATTGTTCTAAAACTGAACAAATCTGGTAATCACTTTAAAAGCTTTAAACTGTACTCTGTGATAGGTAAAGTATACACCCATAAACATGTCAAAGACAACTGAACTAAGGGAAAAAAAGAACAAATGTCACAAGTTAATACCTGAGGAATGTTGAGCTCCAGTAACTGGCTCTCGGTAATCTCACTGAGCTGCCGAAACGTCATTGTAAAATCAGCTTCTGTCTCGCCCATGAGCTAATGAAAGCAACTGCATTTATCAATCAAAATTCTTCAGAAATACAGTAAAGAGTCATTCAAATGTTAATCGGGAGAAAATAACATGATAAACTCACATGTAAGAGAAATGCAATTAACTCGTCATCACCCTCCTCTTCTCCAAGGAATCCTAACTTGGCTTTGAACAATTTTCTAAATCTAAAAGGAGGAATATTAATTCAATTTGCTATTAAAATTCTAACCAACCATGATGCTTTAACATCTGTATTCAAAACTGACAAACCTTGTATAATAAAGATCAGGGTACCCATCAAGAATCTGAGCAGCTCTAGCAGAATAAAAAGAAAAGACAGTTAAACTTGAGTTTAAAATTAATATTCTTGAATTTTTTTTTTTTTTTTTTTT